GTATACCCACTTCTCCAGGCACCACTACACCACTGGTGTGCGCGCTGAGAAAGCAAAACCTCACGCTCGTGCGGAAGTACCAGCGAGTCTCAGAAACTAAATAAGGTTTGTCCAAGAAGTCGCTAGATTAGACAAAGTAGCTAAGTTGGCAACACTGCACATGCTCTTATGTTAGCTCTCTCTGCTTGCCTGCTGCATCACTTGGTTTGGTTGCGGTACGTCCAAAAACAAACAGATATTTATTGAACGAAAGACAAGTTATTTCGAGTCATTTATCTCAAGTCCGAGTCAAGTCAATTCAAGTATTTTATGAATATTTGTCAAGCAAGTCTCAAGTCCTAAAATTTGCGACTTAAGTCTGACTCGAGTCAAGTCATGTGACTCGAGTCCCCCACCTCTGAGTAACAAGCTTGTTGTCAATAACCTGATAGCTTTTAAACAATAAGCATAAAAAGGAAACTTAGCCTAGATTTGTGAAGACAAACAGAGATGAATGGAGAGTGAAATATATAGCCAGCTGTGATGTGGATGAATGATTCCCTTCTCCTGCATGTGGGTAGTGCGGATCTCGTCTGAACTTGTTCTTGAGAAGTCATATAGTATAACTTCAGCGAGATTGTTGGCAAAGAGTTCACTCAGGTCACTTCCAAATCAAACAGTTTATGATTAACGTGGCGAATTTGTGTATCAAGTTGACAAACCTGAATCTGATGCAAAATCCGCGCTGGGAACTAAATCCTCTTGTAAATCCCTGATTGCACAATTCCTATTGAAATTATATGCTTTTGCCCACCGAATTCGCCATCTAATTAGCTTGTGAGCAATGCACAATACTGAATGGACCTTGTATAGAATGCTGTGATAGGCGTCATAGTCCTACCTAGACGTGGATCAGCTGAGAGTTAGCTGATGCGAACACTGAATTTTAATTATTAGGTTACTTCCAGAGGTCGCAGCAAGATGTTATTAAGTGAATGTCATTTATTAGATTAGTCTCATTTAAACAGATTTCTACACTATTGACCTGCAGTCCTGTGAAACTCCTCTTTGATGGGTTTGTGCCCAGGAAACAACTCAAAAATTCTCAGAAAGAGCGTGAGAGCGAATCACACTTTACTTACCATTGCATACAGCAGCCTTACTAATGTGCTCTGCATCCCCAATGTTATATAGAAAACTACCATTTAAAAATGGTACTGCTCAAATAAATATGCATGTGGATATGCCCCAAAAAAAAAAAAGTTAATTAATTTAAGTGCATTTTTCCCCCCCGTTTTCCCATTTGCATTAAGATACATTTTCTTACCCCATCGGCAGATCATTTTACTTGTTTTAGGCAAAATGTAGTTAAACCCCCCCCCCAGACTTGAAATAAGACAAAAATACAATTACTATAAGCACGAATTAATGGAGACCTTGAACAGTGTTCGTGCCTTGCATCTCTCCTTCACGCGCTCCACTAACCGCCTGTGACTGAGACGAACAGAGTGCGAGTGCAATCCTGTGACACTGACGCAGCTGATGTGTGATGATTTCTCCTTAGTACTCGTGCCCAGTAATGCTAAAGTGAAGTAGTTTATTTTCTGTAGTTTTTCAATGGCTCTCGGCATCTTACCGACGACAATACCGGAGCAGTCGAAGGCTGCGTATTTATTGCATGGATGGAGCAGAAATGTAAGTGTCTAAAGCATACGCACAGTTCCATTGAATGATAAATGTGTT